GAAGATTCTAGGCCTATAGGTTTTGTCTCTTTTCTTGTGTGTGTTTTTCTGTTCTATTTATTAGAGTCAGATAAGATGGTATATGTAAACTCTCCTTCTGTTTTGACTGTTCTTTTAAAGAAATATTACTTGTCTCAAGAATTTCTCTTGTTCCTTGGAAAAATTTTGAGCTATGTTTTTAATTTCATGACACTAGGCATAGATGGACTGGTCGTTATGAAGCTCATCTTTGGGATAAAAGTACCTGGAATCAAAACCAAAATAAGAAAGGAAAGCAAGGTGTTTCTCTTTGTTCTCTAGCAGATATTTTTGTTTCTATTTCATGCTGATCAGAATTCAGCTCGATGCTCCATTTTTTTTTTGGGTGAAAAACTGATGTTTAGAAAGTGTTATTATTGCATGGACATTGGGACACTTATTGCTGCTTGATCGGGATGGACAGTTTATTTAGGTGAGCATTTTGAGTAATCCTTTTCTGAAGTACTGCACATGAAAGGAGATTAAACTGTTAAACATTTCGAGAACAAAATTTGTTGTAGGAGCATATGATGATGAGGAGGCTGCAGCAAGAGCATATGATCTTGCCGCTTTGAAATATTGGGGTCCTGGAACCCTCATTAATTTCCCAGTAAGATGTTTAATATTAGTTTGTTTCTCAGTTTACCAAGCGATACAGGCATCTAGCCCTTCCTAATGTCTTCCTATCTTTCTCAAGGATTTACTACAATTCTTGTCTTGCTTTGTTTTCTTAATTCCTTGCATAATATTGGGTCTGTTAAAGCTTTGCACCCAACTGTATCAGGTGCTTTGCAATGGCTATACTTTCATGTACTAAATGTTCTGACTGTTTATGTAGGTGACAGATTACACAAGGGACCTTGAAGAGATGCAAAATGTCTCAAGAGAAGATTATCTTGCATCATTAAGAAGGTGGGTGTGCTGTTTGCATATGCATGCGTTTGGTAGAGTATCTGCTGATTCCTCATAAACTCATCTTTGCAGAAAGAGTGGTGGTTTCTCCAGAGGGATCTCTAAATATCGTCCGCTATCCAGGTATGCTAGCACAGATCAAGTCTGCATTCATATGACTTGCTGAATTGAAAATTATGTGATGAAGGATGAATGCTGTGGGATTTCCCGACACATTCACATTTACCTATTTTTCCTGGTATCTTGATATTCATTAGGGTTTCTTAGATGTCATTATTCACGATATCTTCCATCTTCTCTTCTCTGCATCCAATGTAGTCGATGGGATCTGCAATTCGGACGTGTGCCTGGAGCTGATTACTTTAACAGCCTGCACTATGGTGAGTACAGTTATTGTCACGCAAAAATAAATTTTCTATTAATAATTGTTCATTTTAGACCTTCATTCTCAAAAAATAAAATAGTTCCTTTTAGACCTAGGATTTAGTTAGCAAATCAGGGCTGAACTCATATCTTATAAATCTTTAAATTTCTCAAAGGTGATAACGCCACAGTGGACAATGAGTACATCGGTGGTTTCTGCATGGATAGAAAGATTGACTTGTCAAGTTACATCAAGTGGTGGGGAGGTAATAAAGCTCGTCAAACAGATTCGCATCTGAAAATATCGGAGGAAACAAAGGTTGGTTGTCCTGAAGATATTGATAATGAGCTTAGGGCTTCAGAATTATCAATTCAGCAGACTGAACCATATGAGATGCCCCGTTTGGGTGTGTACCAAGAAAATAAGAATCATAAAAGCTCAACATTATCTGCTGTGAGCATTTTGTCACAGTCTGCAGCATACAAGAGTTTAGTAGAGAAGGTTGCTAAAAAGAAAGAAAAAGTTGAGAATGATGAGAATGAAAACAAAAGCACTATCAACAGAGTCGACCGTGGGAAGATGATAGAAAAATCAAGTCCTGATAGTGGAAGTGAGAGGCTTGGAGCTGCATTTCTCAATGCTGGGGGATTATCTATTAACAGAAACTTGCACCCACTTACTCCACTCCTGTCAGGACCACTTCTCACTAACTACAACAGCATAGATCCCTTAACAGACCCTGTTCTTTGGACATCTATTGTTCCTAATTTTCATACAGGTTCTTCACGGACTGCTGAGGTGAGTTTATCTCTTATCAATGCTTAGATTATCTTGTTTCGCATACTCCCATCTGTGTAGAAACATGGAAGTAGGATAAAAACTTGATGGAGTGGAATGATAATCACCTAGACTCAATGATTCCTCGCATCTGATGCTTAGTTTCACATGAATACTAGATCAAATTAAAGAAGTTGCTAATTTAAAATTTTGTCCATTTAATTATTTTTAAGTGATTTTTTCTTCAGCAGACTGTTTCCTAGCTATATCATCTAATGGAACTTGCACTTAGCTAAGCCTGAGCTCTACTATCCACGTCCACCAGCAATTTAAGTGGGAAAATCATGATTGTTGTTAAGATATACGAAGAGTATTAGTATGACTTTTCTCTTTGAAGAATGGATAATGTTCAGTTAGTTGTACCTTGACTGCTTGCCTCTGTTATGACTTGTCTGGACCTTGGTCTTTAACAAGAGATCCTACTTAGTATCTAACAATACATACTTTTGCACCCACCATTAGTGGTACCTCAATATAACATAAACCCTTCCACATGACTATGCCATTTCCAATTTTAAAAGACTACACAAAATGCAAATTTCAGTAGTATATAATGTTGAGTAGCATAATACTTGTGATGTAGTTGTAATGACTGCCTTTTGGTAGTGTGTGGGATTGCATAAGCAGTAAAAGGTCTGTGTCCTGTATATAACCAATAATTGTTGTTTAGGACTTCAAATGAATTATTGATCCTAGTATGTTTACAAGATGGAGTGAAGGGTGAGAAGCACTTGAGAATGGTTACATAACAAGTATTCCCTACAGAAAAATTGTGCAGAGTGGTGATTTTCTGAAGTTTGTTAGATGGGAAGGATATGTGTATCTCATAAACCTGGATCTTTCATGCAGGTCCACAAGAGCGAAGCCAGTTCAGATTATACTTTATTTCAACAAGAAGATTAACCTTCGCCTCTACAAGTGAGATACAAACTTTCCTGTACATGTAAGTTTGCAGTCTTGTGAAGCATAGGCATACACACTTTTATCTTTTGACAGGGTTTTTTCTTTTGGTCCATTATGAACTTTATAGACCTAAATGTTGTTCCAGTACTTGTAAAATAAGTCTCTAGTTTATTTATCTTTTTCAAGTTGCTGCAATGTTGCTCTAGCAATTCCATTTGTCCATCTGAGTTTTTAAGAGTCTTATCATTCCATGCTATAGAGTTCTCCACATGTAGTTTATGAAGAATGTATAGAAGCATGATTGTGGTATTTATTATTGCGGTTCACTTGAGTAGAATTTTGTCTTGCCCTTCTTGGTTCTAGCTTGACTTATTTATTTCTCTCCTTCTGGTTGAGAAACCCATCCCTAACCTCCAGGAAACACAAGATGCCCCCTCTGTTGATCTATAGTTTCCTCCTATGTTGCTTGGACTCTCCGAAAATGTTGCCGCACCTGTGTCGGATGTTTTAAAATGCACTACTTTTGAAGTATCCAATACACACCTGTTAATACTTTAGAAGAGTCCAAGCAACATAGGTTTCTCTGAACGTTTCATTGCTTATTTGAGATTTGGAAGGGCAGCTTCTCGGTAAAAGTCTCTTCCCATCGCTACAAGTCAATTTGGTCGCTAAAGGTGCGCACACACCAGATCCCTCTTAATTCTTCACTAAAATCAATCCTAATCCCCTCGTACGACCTTTTAAATTCAACGATTCATTTTGGTATGAGTCTTAAATATATTGATACAGATGTAGTCGTTCGTTCGGTCAAAACTCAGAAATATGTGAATTTGATTTTCTAATTACTAGAATAGAGTTTCTTATTTATTAGTAGTAAGTAAGAGCGGGAACAAAGCCAATAATATTACTGTTGATTGTAGTTAGACTTTTAGCCTTTGATCTTTTGGTTTTAGCATTTAGCTTCTTAGTTACTTTATAACTTGGGGAAAAAACCCCATCCCTCAATTTTTTAAACCAGTTTTAGGGATTCAATCATGAAATATATGATGGAATAGTGGGAAAATAGCAATGGGATGTGAAATGTCCTGAGCCTACACCCTGAGACTTGCACCTAGAAACATTGTTGGTTTCATGTGAAGTCAAGAGACCAGACTTACTACTACCTTGTAGGTTATGACACATGCAAAAGCTTTCGAAAGATGAACATGCAAAACAAATTCAGAAAAAACAAATTGAACAATTCTATTTAAAGATCTGAAACACTGAATAATGTATACGTATACGTTTATAAAATAATACCGGAAGTTACAACTCAACAGACTCATCTATGAAGCTTCTAGCATAATGTAGAAAGGTTACCGTGAGAAGACCCAAGTGACTTGAATACCATGCTACCAACATATACTAACTATTAAAACTTACTATAGCTCTGAAAGCAAGGAGGTCTCATTGAGGTCGGATGAAAGTAATTCAAATGATGTGTCTGCTGTCAGGAGTAGCTGAACCAAAGCAGATTGAATGATGTTAGTACGTCTAAAAACTAGAGCATATATGTCCTGGGAGACTAAATAGGGACGCGTAGCATAATTTTATCCGTCGATTCAATATTTAATAAATATTAGTTGGTGGATAAGTTTGTGACACGTGTATGTCTCTTAGAACAAAGGACACATATGCTTTAGTTTTTGGACGGCAGGGCACCAATGCCCCAAAGGTATGATGGAGGGTATGTGCATAAAATTTACGATAGTTCGGGGGTATATTTATCCTTTTTCCCTTAATATAAAGTTGATTGTATATTTCATAGTTATATTACAATTTTAGAACTTAAGCCTACCTTTTTTCAACTTTTACTTTTTAATTGTTTTTACAACTAATGTATTAATTTTTATTTTATACTATTTGTAAAATTGTAAAATTTAGTAGATCTTTCCAAAAGTTTGAAGTTGATAGGTTACAAAGAGAAAAATTCTTTAAGCGACAATACCAGTATACCACCTCATTTAAATTAATTATTTGGATACAATATTAAGCAAAGAAGTGAAGATTCGTAACAAACTATTAATCTCGATACAATGAGGATGACTTAATTAATTCTCAAGTAATACATAATACAAAATAATTAGAACAAAACAATATCGAACACACATTAAGCAAAGTTCGACAAGCGTACATTAAAATTTTGGAATAGGAAATGGGATCAAAGTAGGAGGTAAAAGTCATGGAAATTATAGAGTTCTTGAATGTTTAGTAGTATACTGGTGGGGGTGGAGGTGAAGCATAGGTGACAGATTGCTCGTACTTCTGAGGTGGTGGAGGTGGTGAGTTATAGGTTGTAGGCGATTGCTCATAGTACTTTGGTGGAGGTGGAGGAGATTTATAGGAAGGCTTAGATTCTTTGTAGTATGGTAGAGGAGGAGGGGATTTATAGGAAGGTGTAGATTCTTTGTAGTATGGTGGAGGTGGAGGGGATTTATAGGAAGGTGTAGATTCTTTGTAGTATGGTTGAGGGGGAGGAGACTTGTAGGAAGGGGTAGATTCTTTGTAGTATGGTGAAGGGGGAGGGGATTTATAGGAAGGTGTAGACTCTTTGTAGTATGTTGGAGGGGGAGGGGACTTGTAGTAAATTGGTGACTTGTAATATTTTGGTGGTGGTGGTGATTTATAGTATTTAGAAAGAGTAGGTGATTTGTAATATTTTGATGGGGATGGTGACTTGTAGTAATAATGTGTCGATGGAGTAGGTGACTTGTAGTACTTTGCAGGTGATGACGATTTATAGTACTTTGTAGGTGATGGTGATTTGTAATAGTACTTTGAAGGAGTTGGCGATTTGTAGTACTTCTTTGAAGGAGTTGGTGACTTGTACTTCACTACCACCGGTGCCTTGTAGTAATGTTTCGAAGGAGCATGTGATTTGTAATACTTCACTACGATAGGTGACTTGTAGTAGTGCTTCGAAGGAGCATGTGACTTGTAATATTTTGCTACCACAGGTGACTTGTAATAGTGCTTCGAAGGAGCATGTGACTCGTAATACTTTGCTACAACATGTGTCTTGTAATATTTTGAAGGAGCGTGCGATTTGTAATAGTGATGTGATGGAGAATGTTCAACATGTTTTTCCCGTTTCTTGTAGTATGGAGATGGTGAATGAGAAGTGTATTCATAAGAGTAGTCAGCAACAACAGTGCTGGCTACAAAGCAAATTACCAAAGCAAATGCAAGAAGAGACCTTTGTCCCAAATTTCCAAAGCTTATCATTTTGATTTTTGGAGAAAAAAGATAGGACTAAGACTCGTGTTGCATAGTTTAGTTGGAATCCTTGGTTTTTATAGTAGCAAATAATAAACTTCTTGAGATTAATTAATGTAATGGTTTCATGGTTAACCACTAAGATGATAGCAAGTCCCAATAAAGATTAGTTTAGTATAATTAGTGGCAAGCATATGTTTTGGTGATTGAAAAATAATTTGCAAGTGGGCTAATTTCGAAAGAATATATAAGTTGACTTGAATATTGGATATGTAGTTCAAAACCAACTAGGCAAAACGAACTATATATACCAACTGAATTATAATAATAATATACTCAGTATAATTTTACAAAATAAAATTTGGGGGAATGTAGAATGTATGTAGACCTTAATCCTAGCTCAAAAGTAGAGGTAATTGTTCCCGATAAACCCTCAGATCAAGGAGAAATCAGTCAATGATGTTCAGTAACAAAAGTACAAGAAACAAGAGCTACTAATTATAGGATAACAAGTAGCAAGATAGGGGTGAACAAAATCGAATCAAATTGCAAATCGAGTTAAATTAGAAAAAAAAAGGCGACTAGTGGTCTGGTTTGACTTTTTTCTTAAAAAAAAAAATTCGATTTTAATAGTGTTGATTTGGTTTTAACTAAAAAAAAGTCAGTTCGAGCCAAACTAACCTACATTATATATATCATTTTTAAAATTTATTTTAAAAATAAAGTATTTATTTTAATATAATTTATAAATATTTTTTATATTTCAACATATTGTTTCATGTTCGAAACTTAGAAGTTTGAATGGTTCAATAAAAATTATATCTATAGAAATTAGTAACTCTAATAAAGGTTAAATCAAAGTCAAATCAATATAACTAATAAAAAAAATTGATTTAATACTAAGAATGACAATTATATTAAATATTTATTCTTTAATTATTTATTAATTTAGATAATTAAAATACATAACCAAATATTGTTTTTCTTCAATATTTAGTCATGTACTTACTATTTAATAGACTTATTTTTGCATGTTTTGGTACTTTTAAATTGTGATAATTTTTTTTGGCCAAATAAGTTGCAATATTTGTTTTATGCAATTTCATTATTACTTTTTGTAATTTTTGAGTCATTACTCATCTCATATTTTGTGTTATTTTCTTAAAAAATATATTAGATGATTGTATATTGGTAGGACTAAAAGTATATCTAAAATACTAGTTAATTATATATTTCTATGAATACTTTATTGGAAAATTTTGAAAAAACCCAAAAATTGAGTTTCATTAATTTGATTTGGTTTATAAATTTTAAATTTTGACAATAATTATTTGGTTTGATAGTTAAAAAGTCGACTCAATCCAATCATGTACACCCCTACTAACAACTAACTCAGTTAGGAGAGCTACCGCTTATACCTTGCCACTGTTTAGAACACACACATATATATATATATAAATAATGTGGATCCACTATGAAGCCTCTTGGGTTTTGAAGGAGTTGACCGACTAGAGGTACACTCAAATACTACGTTGGCATGTGGATATGAGACTTGAATTTTTTAAAGCCGCATTTTCTCGATGGTAATAATCATCTCAAAATTTTCTATGTATGTTCATAGTATATCATGAAAACTATAATTGTAATCTTGTCGAGTCTTTACTGACGATCTGAATGTTATCCTGCTGATGAGATTATGCTCACAACTATTTGAAACATACTAATGTCTTGAATTATTATGATATAGGAACTTTCTTTAAAAATGTTTTCCAAGCGTACCTGCTATTTTGTGCTCATACTACATTCTGAACTGTTTTTGTGATGTAGGTAGGACCATCAGTCGCTGACATTGATTTCGAGCCCGCTGGGGGACGTCAGAGACCAAGGTTGAGTTTATGGTGTCCTTGATCAACTTTTATAGTTTGACTAGTTTTTTTTACTTGAGATAAGTCAATATTTTTGTTCACTTTTGAGACTTGTACTACTTTAGCAGTTGTCTACTTGTAACCACAGGCAGATCTCAAGGTGTCCAAAAATTATACGGTGTACTGAGGTAAAATTCTATGTAACAACAGTATATATAATATTTTGGTCACCTTAAAGAACATGAATGTAGTAATGACTCAGTAGTTGGAATCACTCAACCAAAGTTTGGCTGCACGTGCGTGTGATTGCAGGATCAATCCTCGGCTGCGCCACTGCTTCTGACTACTAACTAAGTCGTAGGATTGGATCTTTTGTTTGGTTTTTATTTTTTGTTGTTTTCGCTAAATTGCTTCTGTTTTATCTTGTGGTTTTTTTCCCCTACTTAATATGTCAATGACTGGTTATTCTGAAATATGTATTTGGCAGTTATAGTAGATGTCATCATGAGTGTTGAATTTTGAGTTGTGTTCAAAAATGAGCAAACAAATTAATTAAATTAATAACAAAACGATAAACAATCATTGCCTAACCGCCAAAGAAAATAATTAACCAGAAAATTAAACTAAAAGTAATTAAACAATTATCAAGACATACAACCTCCAAAAGACAAACTTATATTTTTTACATGTATTAATTATTTGATTTATTGTAAATTAATATACATTTAAAAGAAAATAGATAGGGTTAAATGTGTAATTTATTATTTTAATACGTGTATAACTAATACTCACATAATTAAATTTACCCTCTATCCTGCATAAGTTATAATTCCTCATAAGTTATGTAAGTATTAATTATGTAGATTTATAAAAAAGAAAAAAACGCAATCAAACACATAAAAACTAATACATGAACAACTCTTGTATAAATTTTAGAAACCTATCAACCAAACATTGTATAAATCTAATACATGAACATGTTTTATCATATTTACAAACTAAACATGGTACAAAATTAATACGTGAATGACTTTCAAGTGTCACTTGAGTAAATTACCAAACAACCCCTTACTGTGTTTTATGTGACCCTTCAGATTTGATTTTTCTGAAGAAGAAAAAACAGAAATTCAATGCAGTAATATTAGCCATATTTATAGCCTGTCTGGGAAGGTAACTGTTGTGTTGTAGAACATATTTGTGCATCAACAAATGAAATTACATACAATAAATAATCAATCAATCAACTATGCCTCAAAGTCAAAGAATAAAATAACAGAATGTACACAAAAAAGAATAAAATAATAGAATGTACACAAAAAAGGAAGTAAAACAGATGGAAGCTATACCTGAATGGGAACTATTATTGATTTGAAATATCCCTTTTACTAAATACACATAACAAATGGGTAAATAAACTGCTGCCTATTGTCACAATACACATCATACCCCTCTTGGCCTTGAAAATTGTACTTTATGGATACTAATAGTTCGACGTTAAGTTCAGCTGTGACACCAGGTTCAAGTCAAGTCTTAAACAACCATAAGTTGATAGAGGCGTCATCAGGATGTTGCCACCGATAAACTATAACCATTAAGATGTGACTTCTGCCATCTCCATGCAATCTGCAAACTCTGTTGAAGATCAGTGTATTTGGCTGTCCAGTTCAGTTCATTCCTAATCTTAGTTGGATCGCTGTAAACTTCTGCATAATCACCAGGCCTACGGGGAAGGAACTCAACTTTGATAGGTACTCCAGTTGCTACCTTACAAGCCTCCACAAATTCTTTCACTGATCTGCCTGTACTTGCAGACGAGGGATAATAAGACGTTGAGATCATTTTGAGAAAGCAAAACTGATTATGTAGAACAAAGTTGTTTACCTCTTCCTGTTCCAACATTGTAGATCCCAACTTTCCCTGGCCTAGCCTTCTCAAGAGCTTTAACATGAGCATCAACCAGATCGGTCACGTCTATATAATCCCTTATGCAGGTACCGTCTGCTGTCTTATAGTCTGTTCCTCTTACCTGCATAACAAATGAACTCCGTGACTCGGACAATTGTTTGTCAACAAAATTCATTTGATCATGATACAACATCCACTTTTCCCTTCAATAACAGGATCTTTAATCTTGTGCATAGAGCAGTCTTGAGTTTTGATTGTCATAGGAAAAATATTAACAACCACTGACTGGAAGACATTTGGAAGTTTGAAAATGTTTTATACATACTTTTTTGAACGGAACAGTCACTTTTCATACATAACTCAATAGAACTGGACAAACAGACCGCTTTCTGGCAAATTCAACAAATACAAATATTTTGATAGAAAATAGTTACTGACCTTAAGCCCAGGTATGATTCCACGAGCTGCATCAAAACAAGCACCAGATATCCGGCCATGTTCCCGTAGTTCAGGTCGTGGAGCTTCACCTAGTCTTCCATTTGGATCAGAACCAATGACATTGAAGTATCTAAATTTTGAGAAATTTGATGTAAGCGTAAATTTGGGATATAAAGCACACTTAACAAGTCAAAAACAATAATAGCAGTTGGTAATCAAAAATTGATCAAAGAAGTGCAAGCTTGTAGTTTACTTGGTAAAGAACAATGAAAACCAATGGACCACAATTGAAAAGAGGACAGTCTTTTGAGAAGGTAAAATATTTCGATCAGTAAGTTCACATACGAGACATCAGTAGACAAGAAAGTAAAATAGTTTAACTGGCCTTGTTCATTAGAAGATAAATGACCACAAAAATCAACTAACATTAATGTATACTAGATATAATGAACAAGCAGGGGAAATACAAATAGATAGAAACAATAAAAAGTGAAGGGAAAGGTAAGGACCAATCCGCAAACACAAACTAAAAGTAAAGGAGTATAAGAACAATCTACCTCAAAATCATGACAGACATGTTTGAGTTCTTGTGAAAATCTAGGATGATATCCTCCGCCATTTTCTTTGCTTTTCCATATGGATTAATTGGCAGCTGCAATTTGAGAGAATGATGCTCAGCTGGTATGTAATAAGCTCCCAACTTACAAATGGTGAAGCTCTTCACATCGACTTAACATCATTCATATGCTTCGAGCCTAATACATGCATATGACCTTTAAAGCACCCACCTGTGGAGTTTCTTCTGTAATCGGCATCTCTTCAGGCTCTCCATACGTTGCACATGTACTAGAGTAAATTAAAGTTGGGACTCCACGAGTTGCCATTGCTTCTAGTACAGTGAGGGTGTTTGATGTAATGTTGTGATAATACCTGATTGAGCCATGAAGCGGCATACAAATTATAAGTAAAAAGGAAAAGGCAAAGCAACATTACCATAAAAGAATACCTAAATGTGGATATCATGGTTAAAAGTTAGTCTGTCAAATCTCTTTAAAGGAAAATTGGTACACTAGATTAAGTGTTAAAAACATCTCTCAATTTGAAATAATGGATGTGACAGTCTCTTTTTTTAAGTACCGTACACAGAAAGCAAGATCAAAGGCAACTTTATAAATTTCCACTTTAGGATAAGAGTGCATAACTTGTCAAAGTGACAGTACAAGAGTTAGTTGCCATGTACTTTAGTAGAAGTAAACATTTAGAGATTGGTAAATGTTCCTTTAGAAGCCACTGCATCCAAAGGTTCAAAACACTGTCTAAATCTCAAACAACAATGTCAAAAGGATTGCATTATCAGCAAATACATAAGTTTCTGTGGGGGCGGAGGTCCTTGTTTTTTTTTCTTCTTTTCTTTTTTGGAAAAAGAAAAGACTTCACTGATGTTATGTTCCTCTAAAATCATGCAAACTAAATACATGTATATGTGGAACAAAATTTCTCAAAGAAACTCAACAACACTTACTTTAGAGGATCAAGGGTGCTCTCGCCAACATATGCTACAGCTGCAAAATGCATGACCGCATCAAATGCGTTTTGGGAGAATATCTTGTGCACCTGCATATGTTCATCACAAAAATAAGTAGATGGCAAAACACAAACAGCTTAAGTACCAAAAGGTAGTTAAGAACAACAGCAGTATACCACTTTGGCATCCCCCAAATCAGCATATATGAACTGAAACCTGCCAGGTTCAGGAAATAATTCCTGTAGAATCATTACAGCACCTAAATTTCCTCGTGAAAGGTTGTCCTGTCAAATCAGTAAATCATTTTTCCTATGATGTCCCATGTACATATTTACGCTCAAGAGTTGAACAATTCAAAACCTAAGAGCTGTCTACAATGATTACGGAAAGGACCAGTTCACAACATCAAACGGAGAAATTACCACTATGGTCACTCGGTAAGAATCTTTTAGAAGACGTAATGCTGCATGCGATCCAATATATCCAGCACCTCCAGTGACTAACACATGAGTGACACCTGGTTCATGATGAGAGAACTGAAGAGGAGGAAACAGGAGAAACAAACATGGTGAACAGCAAGCTCAATAGTTGTCCAATATTCATATGATTTATTGTCTCTCACATATATACACATGTTATGAAAATAAAATTATTGCGAAACTGAGAGGTGTACACAAATTTCCTTTTTCTCACTCTTAAGGAGGATTTGCATTTCTTGTAGAACTGGAGATTCAAATCCATCATTTGTGCTGATTCAAATGTTATTAACTCAAAAGGACAAAATTGTTAATCCATCATTCTAGACGATTGTTACAAGGCCTACACCAGTTAGAAAGGTGAAACTAGCTCTATCTCAACAGAAAGCTCTTGCAATATGAAACAACAAAGGAACTATGACAAACTCAGAGCTGAAACAGCATAATAATAATTCATATCCCAAAAGTTCCAAAAACAAAGATAGATACCAAAACTAGATTTTAGTGGCAAGTGCAGGCAATAATATACTACTATCGAGCTTTCTAGAAAAATGATGAACCAGTAAACAAAAGTACAGTTCCAAACATCTGTCAACAAAAATGACAGCCAATTTTTCCCACTAAATGATGACCGACCAAAACCAAGTACGGGGAAGCAAACCTGCCTAATATAATAGCGGTGAAATACCGGGAAGGAGGATAGGAAGCAAAAGAACGATACTTAAATGTAAATATGCAAGAATGTAAATGCAAATGCAATAAATAAATTAGGCAACAGAGCCAACCATGATATTAGATAATGCAATTCACCAATTTAAAAGTAGGTGGAGGTGCCAACATAAGTAATAACGACAATGAAAATGATGGTTAACAGAAGTAATGAAAAATGCAAGTTAAAAAATTGAACTTTGATATACATATCAAACGAACTTTCAAAATACAAAGAGGGAGCAAACTCTGACCAAGTTTTCTTGAGAGAGAGAACACTTATTGGAAGAATAAGGTGTGTTTTACAAATGGAGAGGGAGGCTATTTTTAGCAAAATTGCTACAATAAAAGTGCTACGTTTATATGTATATTCTCAAACGTCTATTACTTAGATAAGTTAACCATTTACAATATGTTACCTCCTCAAGTTATGCGCATTAGCCTAAATAAGCCGAAAAACCTCAGGTTTGTTCCAATCGAGGCTAATGTGTGTAATTAAAGAAAGTGTTATATTTTATTTGATTAACTTGGCTACATAATAAGCACTTGAAAATGTACTCAAAAGCTTTTGCAGGATATGAATCAGAAGTATCTAAATGTGTTCAGGTGCCTAATTGAAACAAGACCTAGTACGAGTGTCTAAACAATTAATAAAGTAAAGGATGATGGACATACTGCAGTTGGGGGATTAAAATCAGGGGAGTGTTTGAGCATAAGAATGCATAGTGCAGTCAATATAGCAGCCATAAGAATTTTACCCACAAAGTTGTTTTTCTTCTTTGGATCTGCATAATCCATGCCTATTAACCAATAAACAAAGTTGCTTACAACAGAGTTAAAGATTCTGTTAATAACATAAACATTTGAGAGATTAGCAAACAACCATGATGAAGAAGAGAAGTGCTATTGACTTCCACTGAAACATAAAACAAAAAAGAAGCAAAAGGAAAGGAGGATATAGGAGCTCACCTACTAAAGGCATAGATCTATTAGACCTGAGCTGAGTTCTTGTTCTCACCAAATTTAGCATTACAGAAAGCAAATAAATATTTGTATTGGAAAAAATCAAGCGTCTGTCCTGGTTATGATCACTAAAAACTGAAACTTGGACTAGTCAGAAATTGGAGATACAAAATATATTAAGAAGTGGGGCCTCGACATAATTATTATTCCCTCTAATCCCTATTTAGTTATCCACTTTATAAAATACACACATATTAAAATAACAATAATTAATATAGTGAAGTTACAATCTTATCCTTATTAAATATGATTTCAAAAAGAATGAATTAAAACTATGAAATTTTTGAGAAGTTTAAATAATGGTATAATAGAAATTTTTTGATTTATCAAAATGGACAAGTAAATAGAGGAATCTATATAAACAAGTAAATAGAAACAGATGAAGTATTATTTCGTAAAATAAAAGGGAAAGTTTCTTATTTTGAACCTAAGAAAACAAGATTTGTTACATCAAACAAAAGAAAATGAGGGTATAAAATGTATAAGCAGATGATGAAAATTGGGAGTTTTCAAAGGAAACAAGGAGGTGTGTGAGAAGAAGAAAAATTAAATACAGAAAAATAGAGAAATTATCACTTTCATTCTTAATTAAAATCGAAAATTTGTAAAAGACAATATTACAAGCAAATAAATTGTGTTAAACTCAAATTTAACAAATAAGAAAAAAAAGAACAAAATAGATGATAATATAAATACCGACAGTGAATTGTCATCTGAACCAAAACCAGGAGGATGACCTGCAACTACCTTTATTTTGACATCATTTCCAAATACAGTACAAAATCAAAATCAGTCTATAACAAATTGAAGTGACAAAAGGTCCCCAAACCAGGAATTTTACGAGTCTGAGAATTTATTATTACTTATATTTTACTTTTTTGGTTCCATTTCATACGATTTAATTTAATTTTTTTGATCCAAAATAAAAACAGGTTTGAATTAATTAATTTTAAATGTTTTAGGATAAGGTATAAAATTATAACTAAACTGTGATTGAATTATCAATTACATATCTAAGCTATACATGTGAGGTACCTGTAATCCCAACTTCCCAATTTATTATTCTCACTATTTTTAAAAAAATGATCATATTTTTTTAATCTATTTAAAAAAGAATGATTCTTTTAAAAATATTTAAATTTTAATTTTTTACATATTTAATTCACTAAATTGAAAAATATTTTAATATATTTAATATAATTAAATCATCTTTTAAATAGGAGAATAATAAAAATAAAAATATTCAATTTAAATAATTTAAAGATAATTTTATAACATGGTTAAGGCGAAAAATGCGGGGAAGGGAAAGATGTTCATAAATGTCTCCCGACAGAAGATGACATTTCTCTTTTGTTAGATTCCAAGGACATAACAGCCACGTGTCCCTAGTCTTCTCTCATACTCTCATTCACATTTATGTTTTTTCATAACATAATACTTTTACCCTCTATTTAAGGGGTGCTCATGAGTCCATTTGAATTAGTTATCGGTTAAAATTTTAAAATCAAATCAATTTAGTCGATTTAAGAATTATTAAAGCCAAATCAAATATAATTTATATTTATTGATTTGATTGTTATTAATTTCGATTTGGTTCAGCTATTCGGTTATTAATTATATACAAAAATAAAAAAAATAATTAATTTAAAATGTGAGAAATTACAACAATTCATTTAAAACGAACAATTTTAGAATTACTGGTGATATTTTTTTTATTACTGAGCTTACTATGAATTGAGCTTCAAAATCCACTAATTTTGTCTAGAAGGAACAGAAAATGACATTTCCAATCTTACAAAAGAATTGTCATATATATATATATATATATATATATAT